ACTCTCACGGGAATTGTTGAAAGTCTCGGTAAAGCGTGATTATTGAACCGTAAATATTCATTCAAGATGGAAGAGTTATAACAATTAACAGTTCTTGGTCTTGTGTAACTACTGGAGATGGCGCGTGTGGTTGTTCTCACGGGAATTACTGAAAGCCCCGGTAAGGTGTGATTGTTCGACTGTGAATAATTATTCAAGGTTGAAAATTCATTCGTTTCTGAAGAATATTTGCTTCGGCCTGTATTTAATTGTGTTTTAGTAAGTCTTCCGGACCGTTTCCCTCGGTACTTAAAAATTCCATCCGCTCGAATGTTCTTAAATAAAACTGACCGTCTCTCCTGAAGGCTGTAATTTTTCCGGAGCGACACCAGTTCGCCGAGAGTACTGTAGGGTCGTTGTTTGGCGAATTGGAGAATCAAGCTGCCGAATTAAATCTCAAGTGGCTCTCTGCCGGCTACCAATGGCGATAATAGATTGAGCAGGACCGGGGTTGGTCGAAATGTCAACGTATACCGTGATGTCCAATGGAGGGTCGTGGCCAGGGATGACTAAGGAGACAAACCCGTGTTTAGTGTGCTTCTGCATTGGAACTCTTGATCGATGAAAACCATCTTTGACGATACAAGTGCATTTCTTCTTGAGTTGAACAGCAGTGTGCAGGGGTTCCCACCTTGATTTAAAAGTAGCCTCGAAGGATAATAAATGGTTTAGAAATGCAGCGCTTAAACAGGATAGAATAGTGATAGAAACTAGAGCTACTCTAAACGTGGCCGCCATGATTGGCGCCGATATAAGTGAATTATTGACTTGTGTGGTTGTTTGTAATTCGTTTGAGACCGCTTGGTTCCTAAGAGAGTGTCAACCGTGATTGCTAATCGACACACCAACACAGCGGCAGAATGGGTTCACTCGCTCGATGGATAAGGTGCATTCATACCATTTCGTTGCTAATGATCATTACAACGTTGCACATGCGCAGACGTCTGACCGCTGTGTCGAAAACGCCAGCAAACTGTACACAGGTTTTAGGCTTGGTCGCTCAGCGAGAGCGAAGCCAAACAATATGGCGGCTACAATACGTAAATAATAATTCGTGTGAATCATCGGTGGCTAGTGTTGTCAATGATAGATAATAACCCTATTTTTTATTGACCTAAATTTTGCATAAATTACCAGATCCTGGAAAATTGATGGGCGGATTTTCTCTGGTTCTCGGATGATTTTCAATATAAACTCCATTTAGTTCTTGTTCATTGCTCATGTTCAGATTTGTCATGTACAGTGCGAAAGCTCAGTGGGTCTGACAAGTCACGTTGTTTTAATTTCAGAGTCCAGAATTCTTCTATTCATCGGTGAGGACAGATTTTAAACTGGACACTGTGTTTGATGTTCTGGAATTTGCAGAC